ACGGAATCAGGAATAATGGGAGACTATGCCTGGCTGTATCCTACCTCTCTAGGACTATAGTTAAACAAAAGGTGGGGAGAAGACTCCTTTCTCTGTAAGAATTGCTCAAAGTTCAAAGGAATTTTCCTGCTGGGCCCTGAGGAAGAAACACACTAGCATTCATGTTTGCAACCTGGTGGCCAGCAGAGGTCAGCCCAGCATTGTGACCATCTGCACTGTCAACTACTAAGAAAGTGCTGATGGGTGCAGCAAGGCACCATGGTATGTGTATACCTATGCAACAAACTTGCACGTTCTGCACATGTATCCTAGAACTGAAAGCACAATTTAAAAAAAAAAAGAAAGAAAAAAAAAGAAAAGAGAAAGAGCGCTGTTGCTGCAGCCGAGGACTGAGAATAAACAGCATAGCTGAGAACTTAGAGAGCTGCTGGAAGCAGCCCTAACTCAAGGCCCCTAAAGGAAACTGGATAGAGACATATTCTGAGGGTTGATGGGTAAGTTCTTAGGTCACTAGCATTTATAGGAGCTTGAGATACATCAATGAACATAATTGACAGTGTCTTCAAGGAGTTTATATTCTACTAGTGGAGAGATAACATGGGCAAATAAAAATATGTAATACAGTGTAAAGTTGCAGAAGAATAGATGAACTAGGGATGCTATTTTGGGAGCGGAGTTGGGGAAAGCACCACTAAAACAGAGACCTCCCATTCAACCATCCTGACAAGCCCCTCATTTAAGAGAATCCCATGATAAATTTACATCATAAAAAAACCTAGAGCAAATTTTCTCCTCATTCCCCAAAATTTCTGTTATAATATAAAGGATATTCAATATGGTAATTTAAAATACATTGTTACCACCAAATAATTTGTTTCATTGTAAGGCATCAAAAACATAGTAAAAGTCATCAATTACTAGTAGAAATGGTATAAAATATTTATGGCACATTTAATAAATACCACAATGATTGTAATACACAAAATCTCTTTAATTTTATATTTTCGTTTAGGAAAGTTTGAAGGTTTTTGCTTTGAGTTTTGTTTTTTTGCTTTTTGGTTGTTAATGAAGTGTGTAAGCCTGTCATCTGAGAAGCTTATACTCAGCACTTATTTATATATTGAGTTCCTGAAAAATGCCTGCACTTTCCTAGATTTTGGGATGAACAATAAGGAAGTGAGGCATGGTTGCTGTGTTCAAGCACTTCATGATAGAGTACTGGATTTGAAATCCCAGCAGTTTATTTCTGTGAGTCCATTCTTAATAACGTGAGCAAGAAAAAATAAACAAATAAAACAAATAGAGCCTTCCAATAGCAACGTTAATCTATCTTTCTCTGTCACTAAGAATGTTATTGAAAGTATCACACTCTGTGAAATCAAGGTAAAGGATTAGAGTGGCTAATTCTTTGCGGACATGGGCACTAGTTCATGCAGGCGTATGCTTCTGCTGACTGAAGACTACGACTGGGAGGGGGCTTGCTGAATAAGGATGTTCAGCTTCTGTGGATGCTGCCAAAGAGTTTTCTAAAGGTTTTTGATCAGTTTGCTCTTCCGCCATCCACGTACGAGAACTCCTGTTGCTCAGCAATCTCATCAACTTTTAAGATTTTGCTAATCTTGTGGTATGTTTTTACTATTCTCCTCTTTCCCTGTCTTCCCCTCCCTACACTTGTAGTGACTAAAGCCTGCATCGTTGTGCACTAGGCCACTTTCTTGTTTCTTCTCCCTATTAGAACCTGTTTCCTACCATCTTTGAGTAGGAAAGTATCTGATAACCAAATGTTTTTTAAATATCCACAATTAAAAGTTGCTTAATGTGTTTCTTTCTATCTTCAACTCTAGTGCTGCCCAGCCAGTGTAGATGAAGTCAGATGCCAGGCGGGCCAGTGTAGACACAAAACATGCCAGGACCCCTACTCCTATCAGTAGTCACTAATAAGATCATTTATCTCAGCCTTCACATTGTAGTCCTTCCAATGGCTGGTGACAGGAAAAGAAAAGTTGCTAAGAATAAAAATGTTTCTATTTCTATTTCCTGCAACTAAATAAAAACACGTAATCCTTTGCATCCCAAAACTGTCTTTGCAGTTGTTATTTTAGCAGGAAAATCTTACTGCCATCTCTACATCAGAGACAGCTACTAAGTTCTATAGTAATTTCAGCTCTAAAAAGTCTGCAATTTTTTTGAATAGGTTGTGACCCTGTTATTGCTATGTAAATTTTTATTTATGTGTACTAAATGTAAAATTGTGGGGGTTTTTATTTTGTTGTTGTTCTTTCTTTTTTTTTTTTCTTTTTGACATTTTCCTTATGTCCCATATGGCTTTGTTGAATTTCTTATTTAAAGAAATACTTAAATAAATGTAAATATATAAATATTTATTATTTTTAAAAGTACCTACTCAACTAAACACTGCTGATGTCCTGTGAGAAAGAACTATACATAAAATCCTGAAATAGAAGTTATAAGTTATTATAAATAAAACTGAAAGCAATAAGCAATTTAGAATGTAATATTTGCAGTATATGACAGATGACTGGAATCTTTGATCTATGAATCTCTCTCAAATCTCATTAAGAGAAAAAGTCTTATGGTAGGGCATGGGTAAAGGATTTTAAAAGGCAATTTATTTTTAAAAATAAAAACTTAGAATAGCTAATATAAAAAACACTTCAGGCACAACAGTAATCTAAGAAACACATTAAAAAGCACTGAGAAAGATTTTTAAAAATCTATTATATTAGCAAATATTAAATAAAATAAACCAGTGTTGGCAAAAATGTAGAGACTTGTTATTAATGAAGCAGATATTGATAAACAGCTGAAGAAAAATTAAAACTTTGCTTTCTGACTAGGATGCTGAGCTTTGACCTTGCCTTCATCCCCTCTTTTCTTGAATTGTTGATAGAGGACATACTCTGACCTGACACATGTTTTTCCACTGGACAGCTCCACATGTTGGTACTAGTTGAAGGAAAGTTCGACTGAGAGTGTAGAGTTGATTCAACCTCCTCTTAGCTAATTTTTGTATTACAGCTTTATTGAAATATAATTCACATACCATAAAATTCACCTCTTTATAGTATGAAATTTAGCAGTCTTTAGTATACTCAAGAGTTATGCAAACACCGCTACTATCTAACTTTAAATAATTTGCCTCCCCCAAACACAACCGTACCAAAAAAACCCCCACTCTCATCAGAAGTCACTCCCACTACTTTCTAGGTTGATTGCACCTGGAAAAGTAAAATACAAATTATCTTTAGACAAACGTACCCTCAATCCAGACTCTTGATATTTCCAAAGATTTAGACGAATCAGAATTGAATAAAAAATAAAAAGTTAATAAAACAAAACAAGCAACTGTGAGAAAGAATAAGAACACACAATGAAAACCAGATTTAGAGCTCAAATAATTCAGATATTAGGATGAACAAAAACAAACTAGAAAAAGAATATGTCCAAAATGTTTAAAACATAAGAAAATTAATTGAATACTACAGGAACGAATGAGAGATTATTATAAATATTATGACTGTTTAAAAAAATTTTTGAAATAAAAATATAAACATTAAAATAAAAATGTAGGCTGAAAAGTACATCAGCCATAACTGAAAAAATAATTATTAAATTAGAATATATATTCGAAAAAACTCAATAAAATTACAACACAGAAAAAGGAATTTTTTAAATATGAAGGGGAAATTAATATCTATGGACAAGTGAGCAGTTCTAATATATATCTCACTGAATTTCAGAAGAATTAATAGAATACAAGTGAACGAGGCAATTCTCAATTTTCTAGAATTTGATGAAGACACTTCTTGAAATTCTAAACAAGATAAATTAAGAATATTAGTTCTGAGATTTCAGGGGTCAATAATTGTAACAATAACATAACAACCAGAAATTCATAGAAGCACAGTCATAGTGAAACTGTAGAACTCCAAAGCAGGTGAGAGTGAAACAGTCTAAGGAAGAACAAAAATTACAAGGACCACAGATGCTTTTAGTAGCAGCAATGGAAAACTGGAACTTAGTAAAATAATATCATCAGAATGGTGTGAGAAAACCAGAAGCCTGTAATCCTGTACCCAACTGTCACTCAAGGATAGTCCAAACAAAATGCAATTCCCAAGCTTGTTAATTTATCACCATCCCTCTGATAAGGAAGCAGAATATTTGATCAGGGTGGTATACATAGTTGCTTTCAACTGCATTGATACTGTTTTATTTCTTAAGGACTATATTGGGCAAATAAATTACTTTACACAATTGCTATAGAGTAGTTGAAAAAAATAAACTAAATTGAAATACACTCATGTAGTAAGAGCTCAAAATATATTGCTGATTATAAAAAGTTTCAGACTATTAGAGACAAAATACCCATGTTTATATGGAAAATAAGTATTATTCTCTATAGTTATATTTGTATTAAATGCTCTGAAAAATGTCTGGAAAATATATAGAAAATTGATGATGGTGGTTATCTGAGGCAAAAGAAAAAGGAACAAGTGAAGCTGAAAGGTATTTTATATTTTCCTGTGTTTTTATTTTTTATAAAGACAATATATGTAAATATGATATGTATACCTAAAAAATAATTTCAAAGAACAGAAGAAAAGAAAAAAGACTGGTATAGCAGTGAGGCTTTGAAGTGAGGACAAAAATTAAAGAAAATTAAAAAAATAGGCTTACATTTTTCATCCTCTGCTGCTAAGTAATATTATATATATTACTTAACTCCATCGCAGGGAGGAAGTATATTGCAATCACATCTATGTCTCCAGCTCCCTAGCACCTAACATAAAGTCAAAAATATAGCAGACAAGCAAGAAATGTTTGTTGAACACTTAAATCTAAAAATTTTATTTACCTGCCATGAGAATTAAATAGAATAAGAAATAGGTTTGATACATACAGAGTAGGGACCTCCACAAATGTTAATTCCATCCATCTTTTATGCAGATGAACTGTCAGATCTCTCTGTAGCTGTTTTCTCATTTGTCAGTTCCAAAAGGAATTGGAAACTGGTGGTTTCTGCCTAGTTACCTTCCTCATTCTCACAGCCTTGGTTATTGATTCCATCAGCTCAGCTCATTGACCTATAAATGCCAGCATCTCTTGAACATCTTCCATCTCTTTCCCAGACCATCCACAGTTGGCTGCCAAGCTTTGCAAGTTTTATTTCTGAAATGTTTCTCAAATTCTTTCTAGGTCCAGGAGGACCACCTGCACCATCTCTTACTGGATGATAGCCACTCTCTACAGATGTAGTCATAGCTGGTATCTCACCAGCAGATGCCATGATTCAATTCCACCGTAACGACATTGGGTAGTGTTTGTCAACTCTTCTCCTAGTCAGAAGGATGTAAAAACAATTCAGAAACATACTGGAAATCTTCATGAGTAGGTAGGTAATACTTTTTTATATTGATGCACCATATTTTAGGTTGTTTCTCATTGTTTATTACTAAAAATGAATGCACAATGAATAGTTCTATAAATATTTAATGGAAACTTACAATTCTGATTATCGGGATTATAGGGTTAAAGGAGTTGCGTGTTATTGAGACTCCTAATACCAAACTGCACTTAGAATGACTCTACTAATTTATACACTCTCTCACATTAGTGTCTGAGTATGCTAATCTTTACATACCATTGCTAGCACTGAAAACTACCATGAATGTTATTTTCATTTCCTCTCTTTAACTCAAAAGGCAAAATGAAATCAAAACAAAACAAAGCCTTTCATATCTTTATTAGCCATTTGAATTTGGTCATTTGTGGATTATTTTTGTGTGTGCTTTGTCCTTTTCACTTCTGGACATTAGTGCTTTCCTATTTGTATATATAAATTCTATGTATTTTTAGAATACTCTCCCAATGCTTGTATTTGTCCTCTTCATGAATTTTAATTATCCTTATGTTGCTTTTCATGTACAGTGTTTTAAATGTTATTTGTTATAATCATCCATTTCTGTCATTTCTTTTGTAATTTTCATTATTTGAATGTTATCCCATCTGCCAAAGCAAATAAATATTATTCTCAGTTTCCTCTCAATTGTTTTGTGACTACTCTTTTAAAAATACATTTTGACTTTTTTTCTCCCAGCAAGTATTTATTCTGGTGGCAAATTAACCAAATTCTCCTGATAGACAATTTCCTCAAGAAAATTAATTAAATAGTTTCTTACTTTCACTATCAATTTGAATATTCATTTGTCAGTTATTAATTTTAATTTATGTTAGTTTGTTTTCCTGGGCTTCACATTCTGAGCTATTGATCTGTTTGTCTCTTCTTGAAAAATGACCTCGGTATTATAAATATTGTTAAGATTTAAATACATTTATTATCTTATAATTTAAGTTCTCTTATCACTTTTCTATATCAAAAATTTCTTAGCTATTTTTGTCTCTTTATGCATACAAAGATTAAAAACTACAGAAAGAGCAAAAAGGAGTAAAACATTAGGGAACAAGACAAGAAGCTGTTAGAATATTAAAGAAGATGTAGTATTCTCCCGCACAGTCTGGACTCCAGCACTGCCATTTTCTGACCTACTTCCAGTCACTGCTGAGCCAAGCTGGATCAGTTATAATTCTGAGGCTGTCCAGCATCACCCTTCTGCTCTGATTTGTAGCTGAAGCTCAAAGCTGTCTTTCATCTCTGCTACCTTACTCTGTGCATGCAAAAGAGGAGAAGATTGCTCCAGAGAATCGGCAACTCACCCAAGGGCAAATAAATGCTTGTGGAAGTTTTCAGCCTCTGTGCAAATCTTGCAATTATAGAGCTGAACTCAAGATAGAAGATGGATTTATTTTCCTTTATTCCAAATCTTACTGAGAAATCTAGGTAATATTATGCAAATTGCTTAGGATAAAAGATAACTTGAAAGCCAGTGGTTTGGGAGAGGGTATAGCCAGGGAAAGTGCTGGTATTAGAGAGAGTGATTGATCGAGACCAAGTCCTCTGAAATGTTCTAAGGCAGTCCAACCCATCACTCTCCCTTTTAGTGCTTTCAAATATCCAGTCACTGGATCTCAGCTCTTTGGGTATTTTCAAATACTTGTCATGGAAGCCTATGTTTTGCAGAAAAGGCCACAGAGAAAGAAAAATTCATTCTTTCGTACAGCAAATACTTATAATATTCAAAAACAAAAATTATGATTCCACATAAGAAGTATGATGTAGGTGAGCAGTCAAATGTTGTCACAACGTGGAATAAGAGCTCACATGAGTCAGCTGTCAGAACTAGGCTGTCATTATGAACAGATAGGCATAATGCCACAGCCAAAGGCAAGGCAGGGGGAATGTGTACAGTGTGTTTAATAGCTCTGCAGATCAGAGGAAACTGAGTAACTCTGAGAAGGCACATAGCATAATCAGAGGATCCATTTAGAAAGAATGCCCTAAGAGGTTGGTATCAGGACTGCGGGAGCAGGGAAACCAGAGGCTGAGACAGCTACAAGATGGATAGAATCCACAAAGATAGCTATGGTGCTTCAGTCTGAGTTTTAAGACCCTCTTAGAACACTGGTCACTCCATTAGGCTGAGCATCAGTGTCTCCTTCTGAGGTTTCTATAACTGCAGAACCTTGGACTTTCTCCTGAAATTCCTGATTCAGAAGGTCTATGAAAAAGCCTAAGGAGCTACACTTTGAAGATCAAACTCTCCAAATAATTCTGAAGTTCAGCTGTGTGCAGATGTACCACTGTGGACCAAGTGTTCATTTTTCACACTGCCGTTTGAGGAATGGACTCACACTGCCCTATTAGATTAATGTCTTCTGATTTGTCTATATTAGAGCACAGCTTTAAGAACAGTGTTTTAAACTCTGCCTCTGTATGCTAAGAAATAGTTGTCCTTAAAAGATGGTGTTTCATCATACTATCATGGCTTTCTTCTTTGATAGTTTATTATGTGGAGACACTACAAATTGATCAGCTAAGTGAGGGACTAAGGCATTGGTTATATATGATCAATCATATGAAAATAACGAAGTGAAAGACAAGGGCACTTGGAGGCTGGTGGAGAATGGGAATCTCAGTGACTACTTCTGTTCTTTACTGCAGCTGCTAAGCTAACTCTTCTCTCCTTGGTGTTTCCACACTCCGTACATCACAACTCCTTTGCCACATGCATGGTATTTGTATGGCCTCCCTCTTCTCCCTTCTCATGTAAACACACACATTGGATTGTGAGCCAGTAATTGTGACTAATTTTTCTGTCTTTCTAGAACTGAGTATGTTGCCTCATATACTGAAATGTGTTGGCCAATCAGAAATGTTACATAAATAATAAAATGCAGCATGTGAGCCATGTAGCCGTCTTTACTATTAATGCTTTATTCATGGTAGTTTTTAAAAATTGAGGTGCTGTGGTTACACAATAAAGCTGTTGATTCTTATTCACTCTCTCTATTTAGTAGCAATCTGTGTCCTGGTATATATCAAACTAAAACCATGCTTACCTCCACACCTACAATCTACAACTGAGGGTTACTGCCAGACATACACTGACTATGATGGTCTGGTTTGCACTTTTCCACTCAACTTGATCTCCTGCAAATGAGTTCCCCAAATACTGGGCCTTACTTCTTTATGCTTTCATGGGCTCTACCTCTTACTTTAGTAACCTGTTTGGAGGGTGATGCTTTGAAGCTCTGTTCCCCAAAATGCTTAACAGTTGAAGTTCTAAACTTATTTTAGAACTTAATTCCTTCTGACATAATCTCAGGTTTTTTCTTCTCCCATGTCCTCATTCCCTAGAAATATATTTGTTCTTAATCATTGCCATCATCTCTAGTTTCTGCCTCCCTTACCATTATAAGCATAATAATGAGAAAATATTATCATTTCCTAGACCAATAGCGTCCTTCTGACTTCTTGTCCTTTCTCCACAGTCCAGATAAACCCGTCAAAACTCAATTGCTGCCTCGGTTCCCTTTTCTTCTTACCCTCTGCCTAAGGCATCCCAGGAATGTTTATCTTGGCTATACTTTTATCCTGTACTTCTGCTTTCCTGTAAGGAGACTAGTCCTACCTGTGAAGCACCATTTTTCATTCTCAGTACATTGTTGACTATGCATATCAAAGAACTATATGATAAAGTATACCATGATTTTATTGCTAGTATGATTTCTGATTGTGTTCTAGCCACACATCATTAGTTCTGCTATTAAGAAAACTAGTACCATTCATTTCCAAGACAAATAGGTGTCCCTACCTAAGGCATTGAGAGATAAGGCATGCATATTCATAAGGAACATTTTCTGCTCCCAAATATTTAACTGATTTTTCTCTTTAAGCTTCTATAGTAAAAATAACCAGAAGTTCAGGGAATAAGATCAAGCCCAGAATCACATGATTCCTGACTGTGAAAAACAGATCTTTGGTATCTATATAATCCAAGAACATGGCTTGGTTTCATCTCTGAACTGAGAATATTAATATTTATATAGTAGTCATAAAAACAAAATGATACCACTTGCATATAATTTGATGATATTCAGCACTGCATCTTGCTTAGTAAACAGCTTTCTTTCCCCTAACATAGAGCATCTCAAGTGATGTTCGTTTCATAAAATTGGAGAAGGGAATTTAAGTCATTTTATTGTTTCATATATGAAGTATTTGAGCATTGTGTTCCAAATACATCATTGGTAAGAACTATCCTTTGTGCAAGGAGCCCTGAAAGTTTAACTTAAGAGGACCTTACTTTAGCAATGAATTCCCATAGACAGATGGCACCCCTGATGGATCACCGTATATGCCACTAAGTCCCACTTTGGTCAGAAGAGCTCATTACAGAAAGCTCACTCTCACCCATTCTGCTCTTTGCTGCACATTCAGACTTCTAAGATTATTCAATGCTTTCTCATTTTAATTAAAGTAATTTCATCCAAATGAAGCCACATGGTATGTCCAATTTTATCATGTACCGATATTTTACAATTACATGCAACATTTGTGCTTATATTACATTTGTAAACCTATTTCTTTGTGCTTTGATTATAAATTAAAAGGTGAGCTTGGAAAGATGACATCAAATTTTGGTAATGAATATATGCAGTTGTATCAAATTCAGCTAGTTCATCTTATAAATAAACTACTTTTAAGCAGAAATCCAGACAATCTTTCATGGCAGGCTTTCAGAGGTAAATGTGTAGTCCCTCTCTGCACCCCTGCCTCCATCCGTCTCCAGCATGCAGCCTCCAGGCAGCTGTCCTGACAGATGTCTACTCCACAAGGGCTAGGCTGGGCTTTGGGTGTAAAATAACTTAAAAGAGGGTACAGCTAGACATATTTGGTTCTCCAAATCAAAGTTTCACCTAAAACAGGTATTGGATTAGGAGATATGAGAACTATTTTCCAGCCCTAACCCCAAACTGCCCATTCTAAAATATTATCACTTCTGTATATAAGTCGCTATAGACTTTTCTAGCTAGCACTTTTTGTGGCTACTTAATTAAAACACCCAAGGGACCCAGAAAGTTATTCTTCATTGTTCCTTAAAACAAGGAGATGATGGGAAGGGTATTTAAGCTCCTCAGAGAGAAGAAATTGACAGCGTTGCTGTCTCTCCTGCCCACCCCCACCCCCAAATCCCTTTTATTTTTTTCTTTCTGTGAACCAGGTCACATGATGATCACCTCTGTGGTTTGAAGTCAGGAATCTTCAAAGGAGTGGGATAATTCTGCAAGAACTCCCACATTCTTAGTGATTGCACACTGCAGTCTGATCAACCCTCACGAAAAGGACAGCTGCTTCATCTCGACAAACCCATCGTTATAAATCACACGATGGAATATTACACAGCAATGACAAGGAATGAACAACGGACCATAAAACCACGTGAGTAAAGCTCAAAAACATTCTGTGGAGTTGAAAAGTACGCGGTGTATGAGTCAATTTATGAAATTCAAGAACATATAGAGCATGGTATGACAGAAGTCAGCATAATGAATACTTGTGTTGTGAAGACTGACTAGGGAAAAAGATGGAAAGACTTTCCGAGTGATAGAAATATTCTGTATCTTTAGCTCATTGACAGACAGCTAAAAATTGACCTGGATGTACACTTCAGATTTCTACATTGCACTGTATTTACATTACGCTTCAATTTTTAAAGGCAAAGGAAAGAAGATGGTGACCCCTGTGGTAGTAGTGGATGTTTCTCAGTGGTCTGAATTTTAGAGATTTTCCTGGCATTATGAAAAAAAAATGCAGGATTTTTAACATATATGGCTAAGAGAAGTTGAAAAACATAGCTAAAACGCACTTAAAAGCAAAACAACACAAAACATTAGCATAGGTTTTGTACATCCTAGTTCCTCTCCCTCTCCTTCTCTTTCTCTCTTTTGTTTAAATGCTGGAAGTGAACAACAATTGTTTTAATATTAAAATAACTGCACAATGTCAACTATGTTTCCTTCACTGAGTATTGGGGCTACAGCAATGACAAGAAAAAATAGACTTTAACGTTAAGAATCTCACCATCTAAAAGGGAGCTATAACATCTTTTATAATATTAAGTTGCATTTGTTGACTGCTATCTATTTACACTCAACTATACACTTACAAGGTTCTAACTGCTTTTTTGTATTAGCTATTTTAACACTCACAACCAACATTAAAGGAGTTAAGTATCTCGCCTCAAATCAAAGAATTAATAAATGGTAAAGGCAATATTTGATGCAGACAGTATGTTTCTGGAGACTATTCTCTCACCCACTACCTGCTATTAACATTCAACCATGCCAGGAGATAAACAAAGAAATTCTCTCCTGTTTTCACTTCTGTGGCATGTTTCTTTTCTTTTCTTTTCTTTTCTTTTTTAACCTTTCCCCTTCTCTTCTCTACTTTTTACTTTCCTCTCCTGATTCATTTTCATCTGTCTGCCTTTTGAATATCAATGTTCCACAGTTTATTTCCTCAGCCTTAGTTTCTTCAAATTCTGGAATTCCATCCAGAAAAGAAAACATTATTTATTGCCAGTTTCAACAACCGTATGTCTTGCTTTCTGGGGAACACCTCTACCTGCATTTTCCAGAGGCAATTTCAACTTATCTGGTCTGTAATTTAACTCAATATCTTTCTTCCAAAGCTTGTTTCTCCTACTATGAAAGCTGGACCTTCCACTCAACTTGATGTCTTGTAGGCACGTTTGACCAGTTTTACACCCTGGTCCTCCACAACAAATTCATGATGACCTGCCCTCTCTCATACCATTCCCTTCCACTCTACTAACATTACCTTGGCTCCACCCTCATCTCTTACCTGAATCATTGTAACATCCCCCAGTTTCATCCATCCAGATACATTTCCACACTGTGGGGCACACACAGGAAGCTTTCTAAATTTCAAGTATGATCATTCTACTCCCTTGCTTTAAAACCTACATTTGCTACAGGATAAAGTCCACATTTTATGGCACGAAAACCTTTGCCATTGCGCTGAGACATTAATGGTGGAAGTGCCAGCCTAGGCAACCTTAGATAGGTACACTAGGTTGGAAATGCAAACTGTGTCAGGAGCAACGTAGGAATGAGGATTAAAGCCACAGGTAAAGTCAGGTCAGAGGTCTTTGGAAAGTCTTTATGAAAATGGATGAGGTGGAGGCTTGGTACTGATACTTTGAAATGCTTGCTTGCATCGTTCATCATTCCCAGGGAAGGCAGCAACTTGCAGCTGGGTTCTAAATAAGATTTCCAGTTTTGTCCAGTCCATCCCAGATGTACCCAGGTGCTCTCTTCCTGTAGAGAAAAGAGATATCTAGTCCATCAATCACTGCACCCCTTCCAATATTCTACGGTATGCCCTATTTTCCCATTAGTTCTTGGTTTAGGCTACTTCTTTCCCCTCCCCTTGACTTCCTTTCTGTCAGGAGAATTGGCTCACCAAATTCCATTTTTCCTACTGTGATTTTATTATAAAGATAGAAAAAACTAAGTGCTAGTGTTCCCAGCCTTCAGTGTAGCTTCTGACAGTCACGTAACATAAATGTGCTCAGTCCAGCATTCACAGAACTCTGCTCCTCCCTCCTCTTTCTACTCCTTCTTCCTGCTTGGAATGCAGATGCAATGTCAGAATTGCATCAGAGAAATTGTGACCCTGGGTCTGTGAACCCACCCACTTCACTCGGAGTTATGGAAAGCTTACTGCAAACGTGCCACATTGACCTTGGCTCAGCTGTCTCTGGACTCCCTGTGAAGTGAGGGAAATAAAGCCATATTTGTTAAAGGGAAAGTTGAAGTCGCTCTCTGCTCCACACAGCTGAAAGCATTATTAACTGGTATAGCCTTTTTCACTCATAAATTATAAGGAAAGCATAATTGTCCTTACTTCACAGACATCTAATAGAATAGAAAAGCTAAGAAGATAGGTTATCTTGGAATAAGATTGGAGATTTCTTATCTGAAACTAAAGAGGTCATTGTCCACTCTAAGGTCAGTTACAGTGTGAAGACCAGCAGTTGTTTTTGTTCTCCTTTTGGAGATAAGGAAATTGTGGCACACAGAAGCTTTGAGTCTTGCAAGTACCGTAAACCACGTTCTTTCTCTGCCTCTCTTCTTAATCTACTTATTTGCCATACCATTCTACTCAACACAGCCAATCAGAATAAAATCTTTATCACTCTTTTAAGTCAATAATCCATCTTAGATATCAGTGGGAATATTTTATGAAAAATACAGAGCTAACAGTTATAGATTTTATCTATCTTTGAGGATTCTTTTGTGTATTATTTCTAAGGTATCAAAGAATAATGGGCCATTTCCCAAAAGAGTATTAAATATTTATTCTACTGCAAAAATTGCTAATACTATTATTAAATATATAAGAAAATGTTTCCCTGTTTGACCACCCTGTTTTCCCTGTTTTTGAATTGCGGCAATAGAATCATTAATTAGTTTTTATTTAGGTACTCAGTATTTTGTAATCTGTTCACTGAGCATCATAAAGTAATTAAAATGAATGAGATTGAGAAGCTACAGAGCAACAGATGCTAATACCAATTGTAAATGACTGAAAGAAGCTGATCAGCAATCTGAGGAATCAAAGATGATTCTTTGATATGCATTTAGGATATGACACTTCTATACCCTCATTTAAGGGCATTCAACTCCTTTATGCAAACATGTTATTAAGAAGAGGCCCTCTCATCTCTGGAAGCCTCCTAGATCTCAATACTTCTCTGCATCCACATTTATTTTCCTGTTTTGACTCCAGTATTCCTGTCTCTGTGACATCATATTGTTTCCCAATTTAATTTCCATCTTGAACACTATTTCCTGATTTGATCTCTCATCTCTGCTGCTGATCCCCTGGATTCATGACTGCAGCTCATGCAAAAGTTCTCATCTCTTATCTGGAATTAGAAGAGACACCCAATCTCCTGCTGGGGTCAGAGAGTGGGCCTTCGGTTACATATTGGAGACTAGAACAAGCAGGGATCTTGCCCTGTCCCGACAGAGATCATACTTATTTTTAAATTTTGTGTCTCTATGTTTGTGATTCCATTTTATTCCCATTTCTTTTAGGATATACCTGCTAGCCATGAATTCACTTAGTTTTTCTTTGACTGAGAAAGTCTTCATTATTTCTTTTTCACTTTTGCAGAATGTTTTTGCTTTATATATGACAGATTTTTTGTTTATCTTTTTGTTTTATCATTCTACACTTTAGGTATGCCATGCCATTGTCTCATTGCTCACATAATTTATGATGAGAAGTCTGCTGTAATTTATCCTTGTTCCTCTGTGGCGCATGATTTTTTTTCCACTTTCTTTCAAGATTTGCTTTTTGTCCTGGTTTCTGGGGAGTTTGAATAGGATATGGGGGGGGGGGTGTGTATGTATGTGTGTGTTTTCAGTATTATTTCTGGTTTTTTTTTTTTTTTTTTTCTCTCTAAACTCCTTAGGTCTGTAGTTTGGTTTATTGGTTTTACAAAATTCTCAGCCATTATTTCTTCCAATTTTTTTATACTCCTTTCTCCTTTTCTTATACTCAGACTGCAGCTATGTATATGTTACACTATTTGATTGTGAGCCACAGTGTTGGGATGTTCTATTAGTGTTCTGGTTTTGTTTTTCATTTTTATCTCTTTGTTTCCAGTTTAGGAAGTTTCTACAGACCTATGTCTAAGTTTACTGATTCTTTCCTCAGCCATGTCCAGTCTACTAATGAGTCCATCAAAAGAATTTGTCATCTTCATCGCTGTATTTTTATTTCTAGTATTTCAATTTGATTTTTTCTTATAATTTCCATCTCTCCATTAAAATTATCCACCTGGCATTGAGCGTTGTCATTTTGTCTAGTATTTCCATTGGAGCCATCAATATGTTAAGCAGAGTTTTCTTTTTTAAATTCCTTGTCTGATAATTCCATCTTCTGTATAATGGCTCTGTCTAGTTCTAACAATTGCTTTGTCACTTTGAATGACTTCTTTCTTGTTTTTTAATATTCTTCATAATTTTTTGGTTATAGCTAGACATGAAAAGAACAGCAGATATTAGCTGAATTTTTTATGTTTGGAGAAAAGCACAAGTTTCCTTGTGTGAGGCCTTAAATGTAGAGATGGATGCTAATCTGGTCAGAAGACAAGTTGCATTTGAAACTGTTTGTGCTATGGGCACCAGCACTTTCTGACTACTCCATTGGTGCCCTTTCTTGGCTCCCACTTGACTGAGTCTCCCCATGTGCCTCTTCACAGTTGTATTCCACCACTACTTTTACTGTTGTTCTTTATGGTGGTGATGGTGCTGGCTAAGAGGAAGGTTATTTGATGTTCACATTAAGCTAAAGATTTTGGCAGGTATCAAAACCTAAGTCCCGGATATGTAACCTTCATAACTATTCCTGTCCCTTTTCCTGGGGTAAAAATTCTTCCTCATCTTATTGCTCCTCTTCTTTTTCCCAAATTTCAGTGGTTTTGAAGGCTTTTCTCCTGCAGATTAAGACTTTAGTTGCTTAGGGGAGACTAGGATTATGCTTCTGGGTGGAGATTTGCTGGTTGTCTCTATTTCTATCTTTCAGTTTAATGAATTAAACCAATGTCTCAGGATAAACTTTGATAATTTCCCCTGCAGATTAAGCTTTTTATCCATGAAGTATATAGCTGGAAATAGTCTGGGTAGATTTGGCAGTGGTTGCTTCTTCCACCACCCCCAGCCAGCACTACAGTGTGTGTGGGGAAAGGGGTGAGGGATGAACTTTTTCTAGGTTTTTCCTTGTTCCTCTTTGTAAATGTTGGGTGAGTTCCTGGACAAAAAGCTTACAAGAGAGTGGAACTCTCTCCTAGGAATACAGCCCTAGGAAGCTTCACATTCTCACACTAGCCCACCCACAGCCTTCAAAAATTCTATACAATTTTTGATTTTTGTTTGGCATATATAATATACAGTGGCTCCTGTCTCAGATAAGAAAATGCTGGAGACCTTCTCTCCAGATGTTGGGATGTCACTTTTCCCTATGATATAGTTTGGATGTTTGACCCCTTAAATTTTCATGCTAAAATGTGATCTCCAATTTTGGAAGTGGGGTGTAGTGAGGACAGTTTGGGTCATGGGAGCAGATCCTTAATGGATGACCTTGGTGCTGTCATCACAATAATGAGTCAGTTCTCACTGTATTAGTTCATGTGAGATCTGTTTGTTTAAAAGGGACTGGAACCTCCCATATTCTCTCTCTCTCTCCCTTCTTTTTCTTTTTTTTTTTTTTTTTCCCGACAGAGTTTTGCTTCTGTTGCCTAGGCTGGAGTACAATGGCATGATCTCAGCTCACTGCAACTTCCGTCTCCTTGGTTCAAGTGATTCTCCTGCCTCAGTCTCCCAAGTAACTGAGATTACAGGCATGCACCACCATGCTAGGCAGGGTGGCACACGCCTGTAATCCCAGCACTTTAGGAGGATGAGGGGGGCGGATCCCTTAGGTCAGGAGTTTGAGAACAGCCTGACCAACATGGTGAAACCCTGCCACTGCTAAAAATGCAAAATTAACCCCTTCTCTCTTGCTCCCTCTCTTGACACATGACAATGGCTCCCCTTCACTTTCTGCCATGATTGTAAGCTTCCTGAGGCCCTCATCAGAAGCAGATCACTACACTTCCCTTGCAGCCTATAGAACTATGAGCCCAAATATATCAATTAACTTTATAAATTACCCAGTCTCAAGTATTCCTTCATAGCAATGCAGATTAGCAAACGCTACAACCTCAGTTTTCTGATTGGTCCAAGAAAAGTCACTGATTTTCATTTTGCTCGGATTTCTTATTGCTGTGGGGCAGATGTAATGACTTCCCAGCTCTTTACATGTCTGAGTTGAAACTGGAGTTCTTATATCAGTGGTAAAAATAAATACTCTACTTATTGTTACTCCATTTTACATTCAACACAATCAAAAAAATTAAATTATTATACAAGGAGCCTGACCATGTTCCCACTGGAAAGAGTTTTATCTAGTAATTTCACTCTACGTAGGTGACTAAAGCACACGGAGACAAAGTGGGTGGGCCCATGTTGCACAATGAATTAGTAAAAGAGCTTCACATGAGCTGGATTTACATGGGCTTTTCCTATAACTTACAGCTGGGACATTTTTTTGCAGAACAAAGACTACAACTCATATTCTTCTTTCAAGTTGTTATATTTTCCACAAATCAATTACAATTTAAATAATCATTTGCATATAAAATTGTTTACTTTAGCCCTCTCAAAATACATAATTTGAAGCTAAAATATGAATTATCATCCTCTGAAATTTAGAGAGTATTTTATATGACAATTACATGCTGAGCATGGTCAGATGCTTTTGAGAATACACTCTACTGTCCTGGTGGCTTATGAACTTTAGGGGAGAATGATACATAAATATAAATAAGAGAATATCAAGAACTAAGAGATTCACAGAAGTGCTAAGTGCAGGCCCATTATGGAACATATCAGCTTACAGGCCCGATACTGAAATATTGGGATTGTGATAAGTAAGACTGCCTAATCCAGGCCAGGTTATTTTAGAGGAATCATGGAAAGATCCCACTCTGTCCTGGAGCCTAGATGGATGGAATTTTTCTGAAAAGTTTCAAATAAGAGTAAAATAAGCAATCTATCAACTGCCATTAAGTAACAGAAAATTTCTTTATATTATTCCAAAAGTATATCATTAGAGCTGGAATTAGTAGGTAACCTATAATATTGGTGTTTCTGGTCAGCTATCCTGGCCAATCCCCAGTCTGCTTTCCTAACGTGTAACATTAGCATAGACCATCATTTGTCTGGATCTGTGAAGCCTCCCAGAAGAGCCTGCAAGGTGAATAGCGGCCAAAAATCAGTGCTGTGGAAAAATGTGAGCTTCTACCTCACATGCCTTCTTTCCTGTTTCCTGCAGTGCACAGAGATGGCTACTCAAGGTCGTGGTTACTCTCATGCACAGATTCTGAAGGCTACTCTTGGCTACAATTCAGGTAGTGTCCAACAGGGCAAAGTGAAAGACTGGTTTCTTGTCAATAATGATAATCTTTTTTAGTACCTAACACCAAAACAACAATCAATACTATATTGGGCTTACTCAGTCACTGGGAATATTCAGCTAGCTAAAGAGGGGTCTGGAGTGAAGATTTAGAAGAGTTTCAGGAACATATTTATTGGAGTGGCATTCAAATTATAAAACATTGTATTTGGAAGAGAAAATTTCAAGTTTTGTGTGTGTGTGTGTGTGTGTGTGTATTGGAATTGAGGGAACATTAGAAAATCCTAACTTAGTAATTAAGCTTCTTAAGTTATTTTCACTGAAAAAGGAAATCTCAGCCCTATAATTTTCAGCAGATCTAACCCCTAATTTAAATTATTTGTCTACTTTTCTCTCTCTTTTTTTTTTGGATGAATGCCAGCCAAATCAATAGCACCCAAGCAAATCTCACTGGTAATGTTCTTAAAGGAAATATATACCAAGAATACTTGCCATGCATGACCTAAACAGCTACTATATGCATATTATTTTCAGATTCTTAATGTGTCCCTAGCCCACAGAAAGGCCTACTTAAGCCATGTTACAGCTTCTATCAAAGCCCAGTCTCATAAATATTTCTTCATCTCTGAAATACGTTCATGGCTATGATTCTATGATGAAATACATCATGCAACATTCAACCATTGTCAGTATCACTTTTTTCTATTTTTTTTGAACTTATGCAATGAAGTTTACAAATGTCCATTTTCAATGTATCTATTGATCCATGAATACATTTCTGAAAGGCCATAGAAACTTGAAAATGTAATTTCTAAGGCTTTAGAACTTTCTTCTTTGCAAATAACCAAATCTTGTTTATTTTTCATTCACATTAGATATTATAACACAGTCACATGAAATAAGGCAAAATGAGATGAGAAACAATGTTCATTTGTGCTAGCTACTATCATTCTATCATTTAATACTCAACATAACTCCAGCACATAGGCTATGCTATTTCTAATTTCAAGATGAGGAGGCAATTTCAAGTAGATTCAGCACATTGAAGTCACATGGTAAAGAGCAGAGGATTTGGGATTTATACGAAGATCTGTTAGCCTTAGAGCAGGGGTATACAAATTTCGCCTTCCCTGGGCCACACTGTAAGAAGAAGAATTGTCTTGGACCACATATAAAATACACTAATGATAGCTAATGAGCTTTAAAAAAAAAACAAAAAAAAACTCATAATGTTTTAAGAAATTTATGAATCTGTGTTGGGTCACATTCAAAGCTGTCCTGGCCCACATGCTGCCCGCAGGTCGTAGGTTGGATGAGCTCGCCTTAGAGCCTACATATGTGAAGTAAATTACATTCCATTAAAATCTTAAAGGGGTTTATCATAACTACCAGGAAAAATGGCAGGGAACAAACATTTCTGAAGAATCATATTTTCATAGATAAAACACTTAGTGCCATAGCAAGACCTGCTCATGATGACTGGACACTTCAGAGGCAAAGGAAGCAAGCCTCGGTGTAGCTTTGTGCCATTTCAGAGTGAGACTTTCCACCCTCTCCTGCTGGAAAAATTTCCACTCAAGTTTAACATGTCACTGAAGCATTACCTTTCCCTTGAAGACAGATAGGTGGTGGTTCTTTCCTCCATGTCCTTGGGATTAGGACTGCTTATAGAATATTTCTGCATCCCCAACACCTAGCTCAGGTACAAGAACACAAAAGAAATCTGATAAGTATGTGAAAGAAGAAAAAAAGTGAGATGCTAGTCACTGCAAACCTTGACAACAGTAGCCATATGCCATGACATCCATTTGTCAGCAATTAATTTTCCCATTATTTTCTTCTTTAAATTCCCCCTGTGTTAATGAGAAGCACTTCAGTTAAGTGCTTAATAAACAAGCAATTACTAAACAGACATTTAATGGCCTGCTCTATTATTGCCTGTAACACAAAGGGATAGTGAGAGATACAAATAAAACCCCAACATTTATGCATCATCACAAGATGCATAAATTACAATTCAATTCATAACAGTAGTATAAATGGATCCCCCCTTTAGTGTGATTTTTAGGCTTTATAGGAAACATTCTCATTATTTCTCAGTTATTTTTGGTGTAATGAATGAAGTTTCTTCTGAATGTGGCAAGAGGCGCAGTGAACCACTTGGCTACTCAACCACAAATGGGGATTTGCAGGGAGAAGCTGGGGCTGTGGTCTCCATTTTCCTAAGAATGGTGCCAAGAATAAAAAACAATGAAGGGTTTGTGATAAAAAAGTAAATAGTGCAAAAATGTTCAAATACTTCTAAGTAATAAATCTTTATTAAAATGAATCTTTGTATTTCCTTAATTTCATTAATAATGAAAAAATTGGAGAAAATTACCCATATGTTGAGTTCATACAATTTTTTAAAAAACACATACTTTGTTTTATTTTATTTTAAAACTTACTTACTTGTATTTATTTATTCTTAAAGACAAGGTCTCACTATGTTGCCCAGGATGGTCTTGAATTCCCAGGCTGAAGTGATCCTTCTACCTCAGTCTCCCAGATAGCTGGGACTACAAACACGTGCCCGACAAAGACATACAACGTTATCTACCAGTTCTTCTCTATTCCATCTTCCTGATAGAATACAAGCTTGAAGGCTAGAAGTGCAATGGTCCTCAGCGCATATTAAATTGATAAACCTTCCCTGAAGTAGTAGTCATAGGCTTAGCTATTGGGAAGAAATAAAACAAAAAACAAAAACAGAAACAGCAGCACCTGTGTATGTGTTATATTTATTCACTGTGCATTTTTAAAAGGTAGAGTTTTCTAATTAGTTGAAAAATTTCATACTATATCAACAATACAAATGTGTTTAGAATTCAAATTATGTCATTGTTATTATAATTGGACCCCGGGAATGTAAACAGAAATGTATTTGGAAGAGGCGCATATCGCTGCTGACCCTGTTGGGCTATTACATTCTATTAGACTAGAAAATGTACAGGTGACACTAAGCCTGTGGCAGAGAAATTGGAAGATTTGTTGAGTGCTGTGACCCTACTCAATTTTTCGTAATTTTTCTAGCAGCTCTCACATATTTTTAAAATTTTAAGTCCAATTTTCACTACCAGATAATTTTGATTGGCACTGGCATTACAATGTCTGTTTTCTCAATGACACCTAATAGTTCTTACTCATTACTTGTCACTGGCATGAAGGGCAAGCAGCTTAGTTAGACTGTTCAGAGGCTTTATAGAGCCTATCTTTTATTCTTATATGGAGGGGAAAAACAATCCTGGCGTGACAATATACCTTAATTTAAAGATGAACTAAGTGTTATAAATGCCTGATAAGCACAAACCTCCTGAATTGTTCTGATGCAAGAGGAACAAATAAAAGAACCACATGAAATCCCCACCTTAATCATTTTATTTTATGACAAATATCTTGCTTGTATTCCTCCATTTTCTTATAAGCCAAATAATTTCCAGATTGAAAACTAACTAGAAGCCATAAAATCATTTACTGTTGTATTATTTTAATTAGTTAATCATTTTACAACTCTTGTACTTCCCAAGTCCAATATCCCTTATTTTTTGTATTTTAAGTTATTTAAACTTCACAGCCATACAAACGGATGTATCAGACAAACATGTGAGGTGGTATGTTGAATATACCACCATACAGTATTTCTTTATGCAGAATAATACAGGACAAATTCTCAGGTGCAGTGACCAAACTATAAAATAAGATGCAAGTGCTCTAGAAACCACCAAGTTTGGACAGACAATTGTAAGCTACAAAATTAGGAAACCTAGGAGAATATTTACTTTACGTAGAGGGAACAGAATGAGTATAAGCTCCAAAGCAAGTGTAGCTTCTGGGAACAAGCTTATAGCTAGAGCTCAAACGAAAGGGAAGGGAGAAAGCCAGGCTGCAGAGGAGACTCCATGACTGACGCCATAGTTTCTCTTTCCCCAAGCAGCTGTGAGGAGCTGGGGATAATCATCTCACCATAAAATTCAGAGGAGACTTGGGATTGGATATGTATTTAGGGAAGAGTAACTAAAATAGACAAAAAAGGAGGACTAGAATTCAGGATGGGGAAAAGACTTAAAAGAATAGGACTAAGGGAAGAATAAGAGGTTTTAGAAAGAGATAAAGAATGGAGGTGACCCACTGAACAACTGAGTCACCTAAAAAACATCCATCTAAGGCATCCATAATGTTGACCTGAAATAAAAATCTAAGGCAAAATTAGCATAAGTAAAGAATTCGATTTGGCCAAATTTGAGGAGCGTAACCCGGGAAACACATATCCAAACTACGTCAGAGAAGTGCTTTCAGTTGGAGAGGCTACAAGCAGATTTTTAAGGACAAAATGAAGAGGTATAGCAAGGTGGTCTCAGCCTGTTCATATAGAACTACCATTGGTTAACAGAAAGAAGCTAACAGATGATTGGCTAAAGGCTATAGCACTTCTTGGAATAGTCATTATCAGTTTGTGATGAACCCAGCTCCTGGAATTCTTATAAGTAAAAAAGTTCAGGAATTTCAGGGGAGTAACTGTGGCATCATGACCACCCTATTTGGCCATTGCAATTTAGTTATCCTCATTTGTTGGGTTTTGTTTTCAATAAGTATGTCCAGTGAGAACCTCCCCTTTTGTTTGGTCCAACCTTACAGAATAGCTTACCTTGACTCTGCAAAGTTTAGACTATCTTGGAGACAATTAGTAGATTGTTCTTTAAACCTTCCTCTAGTTGTCTGTATATTCCACCTTATGCAGAAAAGGTGGTCAAAATGGTAGCTAATTTGGGTGAGAAAATAAAACTTTCTCCATGCCCAACACCCTCCACACATATTAAGAGTTCAACATTAAAGGTAGAAGGAGCAAAAGGGATTCAACAATGAAAAATAACCTGTCTGAGAAAAGGAGAGCCCTTTACTTTCCTCCCACAGCGAGGTGGCCATGGACATATCTTTTCAGGTGTGTCAATAGAGCCTGTTCCTGTGGTTACCTGAGTAACAAAGACCCAGTCAGAAATCACTGAGTTGTAGATACAAACGCTCTCAGACTAGCCAGACAATTGCAGGAGGACTGGGGAAGGAAGAATAAGATAGTGTCTCTGGAACTTAAAGAGAAGATCTGTTGAGAAGCAGATGCCAATAACTAGAGGGAAACCACCTCAGGCTGAAAGATAGATAAGGGTCTCCATCGTCTCTGGTGCCATGTTGTCAATCATTGCTGTTTCTCTCTAGAGTCTGCTTTATTATTTTTTCTTAGAAGCATGGCCTTCTCAGTTTACCTTTCGCTTGTTTCAGATATGGCTACTCAGATTAAATTTGACATGAGCATTTCACTCGGGGACCCCAAAGAGAATAAGGAGGGGCTCTGGGACTCATGTTTGTTTCCTAGAAGAAGGAATCTGAGTGGCCAACCTGGATGACGTTACTTTTCTAATCAGCTGTGTTTCGGATTTTTTAAATTATTATAAACAGAGATCTAAGTGTTCACGGATAGTGTGGTGATTATACAAGCAACTTCCAAGAGCAAGACTGTCTCATACGAAACTTTGCATTTCTTAGCAAGAACCAGGTCTCTAGCAAAGAGCAAACATTCAATAAATTGTTTCTGAGTCTATTAATAAATGATAAGAAAAGGCGAGGGATATCACCATCCTCACTGCATGCCTTCAGATGTGTGTTTCCTATCGGACACGAGTATTCCAACAAAAACTGGAAAAAAGAAAATACAATGCATTCACTGGGCAGAAATACTGTGGATGGGAGGCAAGCATTCGAACAGTAGTGAACAAAATTATTCTTGAGGTCCCCATTAATCAAAGTATTTGTTGCATCCAGAAGCTTGAATCTTTAAGGACAAATATGAATCTTTACCTATCTCCTTTTACTCTTCTCTCCTTTCTCCTAAACTAATTCCAATGTATACATTAACTTTTAAAATTTCATAAAGCCTATCTAATTGGGAATTTAGGTCTCACTCCTTGTGGACACCAGAAGGATACAAATGATTGGGGGAAATCCCACCAAACAGAACGGCAAGAAGATGTATGAATGAGTAGTAAGCTCAGGAGCAACCCATCAGTCCTCTTCTTTATTTTACCCCCAACCCAGAACTTAGGGATGAAGCTTCATAAAGCTCTCTTTGGTGAAGTAGAGAGGCCTGTTCCGTTCCCGAGAAGTGCACAGCTGCATGTTGGCTTTGGGATGACACTGACTGGATATAAAATTTATCACATGTGATATCCCATGCGTGATCTTCTACACACATTGTTTAGCTTCTCCAAGACTTTTCTTTGGAAAGTCCACATAGAACAGAAAAAAGAAATGCCGTCTTTTAAAATATCCATTTAACTATCTTGTGCTCCCATGTTTCCAAGGTTAGGGTATTGGGAGAGTTGGTGAAAGAGCAATATGTCAGCATTAACTTGTCTTCAAGCAGGCATGACTTTCCATACCGAATGGTCACAATCTCCAACTTTTAATGGATCCTAAATGTGTATTTCAAAAATACTGCCATTTGGTAATAAAGTCATACTCAAAGTTTTTAACACTTGTTTGGCGGAATTTCCAGAGACTGGAGAGAAGGTTAAGATCCAGGCGGTTGCTATGACAAGAGCATTATGACTTATTCATCTAACACTTCGTTGCTGTCAGTATGATACAACCCTTCAGCTCCTGGTTCAGAAAAGCAAAGGGAGGGCGGTCGCGGGAGGGAGTGGGGCAGGCGCTGTGGGCCAGGCCCCTCCTCCAGCTCCTGCACGAACCTACCGCCTCCCGCTAGGCTCTGCCGGCGCCCGCCATTCCCGCAGCACCGCTCTGCGCCTGCCCCCACCGAGCGCCAGGGCGGGGCTGGCGGGAGCCTCGGTGGGCGCACGGGCGCACGGGCGCGCGGGGCCTTGGTCGTTGCTCCCTGACTGGCCGCGGTCGCCTCCATGAAGCGGAAAAGCGAGGGGCGGTCGAGCTCGGCCGCCGAGTCTCCCTGCTCGCCGTGCTGCTTGTCGACCTCACCGGTTGTGAAGAAGATCCGCAGCTCCACGCAGCAGGACCCGCGCCGCCGGGGCCCCCAGGTCGACCTGTACCTGGACATCACCGATCGCCTTCGTTTTGCCATTCTCAACAGCAGACCAAAGAGTGCATCAAATGTACATTATTTCAGCGTAGATAATGAACTCGAATATGAGAACTTCTCCGAAGACTTTGGACCACTCAATCTGGCAATGGTTTACAGATATTGTTGCAAGATAAATAAGAAATTAAAGTCCATTACAATGTTAAGGAAGAAAATTGTTCATTTTACTGGCTCTGATCAGAGAAAACAAGCCAATGCTGCCTTCCTTGTTGGATGCTACATGGTTATATATTTGGGGAGAACTCCAGAAGAAGCATATAGAATATTAATCTTTGGAGATACATCCTATATTCCTTTCAGAGATGCTGCCTATGGAAGCTGCAATTTCTACATTACACTTCTTGACTGTTTTCATGCAGTAAAGAAGGCAATGCAGTATGGCTTCCTTAATTTCAACTCATTTAACCTTGATGAATATGAACACTATGAAAAAGCAGAAAACGGAGACTTAAATTGGATAATACCAGACCGATTTATTGCCTTCTGTGGACCTCATTCAAGAACCAGACTTGAAAGTGGTTACCCTCAACATTCTCCTGAGACTTATATTCAATATTTTAAGAATCACAATGTTACTACCATTATTCGTCTTAATAAAAGGATGTATGATGCCAAACGCTTTATGGATGCTGGCTTCGATCACCACGATCTTTTCTTTGTGGATGGCAGCACCCCTACTGATGCCATTGTCAAAAAATTTCTGGATATCTGTGAAAATGCTGAGGGTGCCATTGCAGTACATTGTAAAGCTGGCCTTGGTCGCACGGGCACTTTGATAGCCTGCTACATCATGAAGCATTTCAGGATGACAGCAGCTGAGACCATTGCATGGGTAAGGATCTGCAGACCTGGCTTGGTGATTGGGCCTCAGCAGCAGTTTTTGGTGATGAAGCAAACAAGCCTCTGGCTGGAAGGGGACTATTTTCGGCAGAAGTTAAAGGGGCAGGAGAATGGACAACACAGAGCAGCCTTCTCCAAACTTCTCTCTGGTGTTGATGACATTTCCATAAATGGGGTCGAGAATCAAGACCAGCAAGAACCCGAACCTTACAGTCTTGACGACAGCATCAATGGAGGGACACAAGGTGATAGACTTCGGGCCCTGAAAAGCAGAAGACAACCGAAAACAAACGCTATTCCTCTGACATGTCCCCTAGCTGTGCTGACCTCTGCACTATGTAGTATTGTCATCTGGTGGATTGTTTGTGACTACATTCTTCCCATCCTGCTATTCTGTCTCGATGGTTTCAGAACATAGCAGCCATCAGGACCCCCTGACAGATAGCTGCTTCTCTCTGTTTCAAGGGCTAAAACGGTCTTGCGTTAAGTAAAATCCTGTGACCAGAGCTGAAAGAAGACTCTAGGAAATGAAAACTGCAACAGAAATTAGCACAATTTGAAAACAAAACAAAATTGCAAAAGCCTTAGTTGCTTTCCACCTAAGAAGCGATCAATGGAGAAAATGTCCACTGGAGTTTCAATAATGAACTTTGAGTTTGGGTGCAAGCAAATGACTCAAAGAAGGACCCAGCTCTCAAGCTGAAGGACAAAAATGCTGTTGTAAATTTAGTCTCAGGTGTAAATACCCAAGCCCTCTGGTACCCAGGGAGCTGGCTGGTCTGTGGTGAATGTGTGTCCCTGTGATGGCAAGCACTGTAGTTGCTGGCCTTCAGAAGACTTGAGGATCTGATGGAGGTTTTTTATGTATTTATTTTCTGTTCACCTTGTGACCCTGTGTCAAAATTTATAAAGATACAAAAGGCATTACTGAGATGGTACTTTCTGTAATTTGATACTATTTGGCTTTATCATCTTCACTTGACTATTTGTAATACTGTTGTAATGTTAACTCTGTTAAGTAACCCAGCTGCTTGTCTTCCACCAAAGAGTGCTTTATTAACAATAATCTGTGAAAAACACATTTAAACACTGTTGCATCTTGTAATACCAGGTGGTACCTTGGTAACGTAAAACTTGCAAGAGAGTATTAATGGTAGCTTTAGAAGACTCAGGAGGAGAAACTGACTTCAGAGTTGGAAGATGTTGCAAGTCATTCCTTTTTCTGTCCTTTAGGGACTGAAGAACCGGGAGGTTGCCCATTGTTTGGCTGCCAGTCATACAAATTAAAATCATATTTCCTTCCATGCATGGAAAAAACACACTATTGGTTTTTTGCCTTGGAAACAGCAATCCAAAATAATGTCAACTTAAAAAAAAAAGTTACTGCTTTTTTAGAGTTCTCTGTAACACTACATTTTTTTTTCCTTATGAGATCAGCCTAAGGCCATTGACGTGGCCTGTGGTCTCAGTGACAATGATCTGCTTCTGGATCTCACTGTTGCCTTTGATAAGGGAACACAACTGGTAACTCTGCAGAGTGCCTTCTCCCACAACCCTACTGGAACACAGCAGAGTCTGTGCCATGAAGCAATTACAGAAATAGAATTGATTTGCTGTCCCCCCCCAGAAAATAAAATGGGACCCAAAATAAAGAATATTTGATACTCACCTCAGTTCCTTCCGTAAGAAGTGGGTGGTTTAATGATTTTTAACCCATTTTTGCCTGTGCTGGGAGCATGGAGGGCTGAGATGTTGACAGGCAGTGGGAAACAAATGCTCTCCTAAGCCACAAGGCTTAGATCAGTAGGCAACTCCATTTTAAGAAGCTGCCTTTTTCACAAAACTGTAAGAAATAAAAGCAGTTGGAATAAACAAGTTAAAGTCTTTAATGCAAAAAGTAATTGAAAGGCAGTGCTTCCGTTTTGGTGTACTTTCTTGGAAGAAAGTGTGAAATTGACTGGCATCAGGAGAGACGGAAGATGCCGTGTTCTCAGTCAAACAAGCAACTCTTTCCCCGCCAGGCACTATGGGGTGGGGTCAGGCCAGCTTTTAAACACTGGGGACTGGATCACAGAAAAACAGTGGTTTTCTGTCCCTGGAAATGAATAGGCACAAAGATCCACTTGGCTGTGGGAAGACCACTCTTCAATAAGATTTGGGTGGGAGAAAGAACATTCCATTTGCTATTTTGAGCTGAGAAAATATAAATATTCAAACTGTGCCATGCATAAAGCATTGAATTCTCAAGGCACCTCTTCTTTCCCTTACCCTTTTTAAGGCCATCCCCTCCATAAATAATAATCCAGGTAGTTGTGAAAATCGTGCTTCCATCTGATCCCTTCTTAGTTTGGCTTTTCGTCCCATCAGAACAAGTAAACGTGGGCACCACAGCTCTTGTGAGCATTGTCTCCCTCACAGTGAACAAGCCTCCTGGTGTTTCGTCCAAGAAAATGTAGGGTGTCAGTGGAACCACAGTCGTTTTTCATTTTATAAACTGCCTCTTCATGTTGCCTGCTCAAGTTTCCACCTAGAATTGCTATCACGGTGGCTCTTTCTAAAAATCCTTCTATTTAACTGGTTCACTGAAATTGGTCATAGAAAACTTGTGATTTGGTGAAAAAGCATTCCTTGTAATAACCAAATGACTTAGGATGGTGTGCATAGCAACAGTGTTACACTTAATGGGGACCGTCTCTGGAATCCAGGAAGTCTCTGGGTCTGAGGAATGGAAAGTTTTTCCTGCTATGAATGAGAGTGGACTCTTCCCCTCACCCCCGACTGAAACCACAAACACCCAGAATCCTCTGGGATTCTGACTTAGAGTCCTTGTTATAGAAGACCTTGTTGATATGGAACATTAAACTGTGTCTGTCAGATGGAGAGATTCCCTTAAGAGCCTTAAACAGCCCTGAAAGTACACCGGGACAGTTTGCAATGAAATTAAAATGAGAAGTGAATATTTCTAGGTGCCCTTCAAGCTTTCTGGGGACTCAGAATTATCAGGAGTCAGGGACAGTCGGGAGGAAGAGCGTCTGCAAAACTGGGTTCCTAGAAGTATGGACGGATGTGGCTTTTTGTAGAACTTGGTGGGGAGCAGCTCCTCGAGACAGCAGAACGGCCTGGCCTTGCCAGTGCTTCCCGGCAGCACGCGGCTCTGCTGGCCTGCAGAATTTCCCCGTTCTGAGCTTGATGCCCCTAGCCTATCCCCTACCTCCTTCCTCCCCTCCCCTCTAGCCCTCTCACGGGGGTGATTGCTACCTCTCTTTTCTTGGGCCTAGACAAGTTTTAGAGGAGTTCCCCAGCATTGTCACAAGGCCAGTGTGCTGGAGGCCAGTGTGCTCGCTGGGCAGGATGTCCTGTGCTTGTGGGTGGCCCGAGGGCTCTCCTGGGACTTTCCCCTTTTCTCAGTCACCTTGTGAGCCACAGAAGCAGTGCACTCATTGGATGTCTGTTCTTAACATAGCTTCTCTTTCTACATTTAAAAAAAAAAATCATTATTGCATTTTGGAAAGCATTGCTCATCAAAAGCAACTTTTAAAACCTATTTTATTGTTCCTTTAAATGTTCTCTCCTGCTGAAACTGCCCTGGAGAGGCTAGCTGCTGCTCTTCCATTTCCCCACATCAGGGTATTCTCCACGTCACTGAGTGGAGATGACTCCAGATGTGTTTAAAGACTGGACAATTCAGCTATATTGTGTAGGAAATTACCTCCTTAATTTCCTGGTAGAATTGTCAGCAGACATGTTCATTCGATGATAGTACTGCAGTTTTCTATTAATAATTTGCTTTTACCTAACCTGCACTCATGTACAGATTATTAAAAGTTTTAAAATGTAAATGATCAGTATTGATTTTTTTTTTACAGTGTATATTTCTAATCTTTTTTTTTTTAGTCTTACCTGTTTTACCTTTATTTCTCTGACACCTGTTCTTTTCTTCTTCTTTCTTTTTTTTTTAATTATACTTTAAGTTCTAAGGTACATGTGTACAACATGCAGGTTTGTTACATATGTATACATGTGCCATGTTGGTGTGCTGCCCCAATTTTTTTTTTTTTTTTTTTTTTGAGACGGAGTCTCGCTCTGTCGCCCAGGCTAGAGTGCAGTGGCCGGATCTCAGCTCACTGCAAGCTCCGCCTCCCGGGTTCACGCCATTCTCCTGCCTCAGCCTCCCGAGTAGCTGGGACTACAGGCGCCCGCCACCTCACCCGGCTAGTTTTTTGTATTTTTTAGTAGCGACGGGGTTTCACCGTGTTAGCCAGGATGGTCTCGATCTCCTGACCTTGTGATCCGCCCGTCTCGGCCTCCCAAAGTGCTGGGATTACAGGCTTGAGCCACCGCGCCCGGCGCCCCATTAACTCAACTTTTACATTAGGTATATCTCCTAATGCTATCCCTCCCCCCTACCCCCTCCCCACAATAGGACCCAGTGTGTGATGTTCCCCTTCCTGTGTCCAAGTGATCTCATTGTTCAATTCCCAACTATGAGTGAGAACATGCAGTATTCGGTTTTCTGTTGTTGTGATAGTTTGCTGAGAATGATGGTTTAAAGCCAAGAGAACTGGTTGAATGAGTGTTTGTATTCCTGAAGGTTAAGATAAAGCTTCCTAATGGCCTGTAAACTTTGCATATGTATGTAGTTTGATACATATTGTCACATTGGAAAATCTTGTGAGTTGTAACTGGTTTGATACAAAATATCAAATAGTGGAAGTTGTATAATTACAATCATGTAATTAAAAGTATTAACTCCCCAAAAAATAAAAAATAAATAAATACATAATTAAAAAGCAAAGGGAAAATCTGCAAAGCAGATACCAGACAAGCCTTTGAAAATTCACTTGTTAATAAAATCACGGCAAAGTTGGAAAATTCATCCATCATTCCTAGTGCTTTTGAAATCCTCACAGGGGACACCTGCCTCCACAGCCAGCCTCTCTATGACAAATGATGTCTCTCATGAGGCTTCTTGAATTCAGGCTGCTACCTATGTGACACTAACAAGAGAAATACTGTGTGCATTCAGATCCATTGAAGTGACAGAGGACATAAACATATTAGAAGAATGGAAAATTTTATTTAGCACATGCTCTTTACCAAGCTCTATGCCAAGAGCCACTTAGCCTGTTAAGAAGGCTACGCCTCAGCCAGGCGCGGTGGCTCATCCCTGTAATCCCAGCACTTTGGCAGGCCTAGGTGGGTGGATCACTAGGTCAAGAGATCGAGACCATCCTGGCCAACATGGTGAAACCCCGTCTCTACTGAAAATACAAAAATTAGCTGGGTGTAGGTGCCTATAGTCTCAGCTACTCGGGAGCCTAAGGCAGGACAATTGCTTGAACCTGGGAGGCAGAGGTTGCAATGAGCTGAGATTGCATTCCACCTCCTGGCAACAGAGTGAGACTCCATCTTAAAAAAAAAAAAAAAAAAAAAATGCTGAGCAAGCTAGGCCTCTCTATGGCAAATGACGTCTCTCATGAGACTTCTTGAATTCAGGCTACTACTTATGTGACACTAACAAGAGAAATACTGTGTGCATTCAGATCCATTGATGTACAGAAGACATAAATGTATTAGAAGAATGGCCAAGGTTATTGAGCACGTGCTATTTACCAAGCTCTCTGCTAAGAGGTACTTTAGGAAGAGCCTGTTAGGGAGGTTAGTAAAGCTTGTTAGGAAGGCTAAGTAAAGTAGCTCTTAGCACAGAGCTGGGTAAGAAGTGTGTCTTCAATAAACAAATGTCAGGTAAGTAGAAACAAAAATGAACTGATATGCCTCATTATGGTTCTGTTAAAATAGCAGTTACCAAACTTTCTGGCATCAGGGACCAGTTTCATGGAAGATGATTTTTCCATGGACAGGGTAGTTTGGGATGAAACTATTCCACTTCATATCATCAGGCATTAGATTCTCATACGGCTCAGGCAACCTAGATCCCTCGCATGCACAGTTCACAATAGGGTTCGTGCTCCTATGAGAATCTAATGCTGCCACTGATCTGACAGGAGGCAGAGCTCAGGTGATAATGCTCACTCACCAGCCACTCACCTGTGTGGCCTGGTTCTTAAGCAGTCCTGGTCTGTGGCCCAGGGACTGGGGACCCTGGTACTAAAGCATTTTGAACTGAGAATTCACAGCATTTAAATAAAGTGTTAAAAGAAACAGAGGGGCCGGGCACGGTGGCTCATGCCTGTAATCCCAGCACTTTGGGAGGCTGAAGAGGGTGGATCACGAGGTCAAGAGATCGAGACCATCCTGGCCAACATGGTGAAACCACGTCTCTACTAAAAATATAAAAATGAGCTGGGAGTGGTGGTGTGTGCCTGTAGTCCCAGCTACTTGGAGGCTGAGGCAGGAGAATGGCGTGAACCTGGGAAGCGGAGGTTGCAGTGAGCCGAGATCATGCCACTGCACTCCAGCCTGGTGACAGAGCAAGACTCCATCTTAAAAAAAAAAAAAAGAGGAAGAAGAAGAACTTAGCCAGGCATGGTAGCAGTCACCTGTAATCCCAGTTACTCGGGAGGCTGAGGCAGGAGAATCACTTGAACCTGGGAGGTGGAGGTTGCAGTGAGACGAGATCGCGTCACTGCACTCCAGCCTGGGCAACAGAGTGAGACTCCGTCTCAAAAAAAAAAAAAAAAAAAAAAAAAAAGAAGAAGAAACAGATGAATGGTTTTCCATTTTCCAAGCCCAGCAGAGGAGTAAATGGTATAAATATGTGGAATATGACACCAATCAGGAATGCTTTAGTTACAAGTATCAGAATGCCTGACCAAAAATGGCATTACTGCTCTCCGATAGTAAGACATCTATGAGAAGGTAGCTGCTGCTGTTTGACTGCCCGTGCTCTGGGTTGGCATTTAGGTGATATGGAGCATTACGATTACCAAGTCTTTCTGTAACTTTGGGCTTCACGTCCACAATCACATTCAAAGACAGGAGACTAGCAAGAGTGAAGGACACTAGTGTTCTTCCTTGGACTTCTTCTTCTTTTATTATTTTGCAAAAAACAATCTTTGAAGAAGTTCTGCTCCCCACCAGGAACTCCCTTGCCAATCATTTGCCTCATCTGTCCTCATCAGTTGCAAGGAGATTGGTGTCTGGCCTTGCTCACCTCCACAGAGGAAGACAGCCAAGGGAGAAAGAGGGTGAGGGCAGCCTATGGTAGACACTGTGGCAACAACATGTGTCCCAGACTGGTTAACACAAATTACAGAAATTTGCATTTCACCTCCATATAGGCAGATTTTAGGTCTCACGAGGAATCACACTGCTTGTGAAGACAATAAACTTCTCCATTGGTATTCACAGACACCTCTCCTATGTGGCAGACTCTGAATTATGCACAGGGAAAGCAAAATTTTAAAGATCAATGTATGTCCTGAGTAGAGTTTACAGTCTAGTGAAATATTCTTAGAGACCAATGGCTCTAGGAGTTAGCCAACAAGGGACTCAATCATGGTGCCACTCCCGCTACACAACCAGGACACTCCATGAGGGACTTTGGAAGATTTTATTCACTGGGGCTCTGAGATCTCATCTCATACACATACAAGAGGAGCTTTACTCTTCTCTCTCTTACACAACCCGTGTGACTCAGACAAAGGTTACTACTCTAATTTAATCCTTACCCTCTCCCATCTGAACTACTAATGGCTGTTTTGCGGCTGGGCGTGGTGGCTCCTGCCTGTAATCCTAGCCGTTTGGGAGGCCAAGGTGGATGAATCGCTTGAGGTCAGGAGTTCAAAACCAGCCTGGCCAACATGGCAAAACCTCGTCTCTACTAAAAATACAAAAATTAGCCAGGCATGATGGCCCATGCCTGTAATCTCAGCTACTTGGGAGGCTGAGGTGGATAATTGCTTGAACCCATAAGGCGGAGGTTGTAGTGAGCCGAGATCATGTCACTGCACTCCAGGCTGGGTGACAGATCAAGACTCTGTCTCAAAAAAAAAAA